CAATAGCGTTACTCTAATTTAATTGATTCAATCAACAAATTAAATTAATTAATTGTTTAATAATAGCATCTTCCTTGATGCCAAACGTAGTTTTATATATAAATAATACTATTTATAAGCTTGACTTATTTATTAGTTTAGGTATACCAAAACAACACTAAAATTTACAAGTTAATTAAACAAAAGTTTGGTATCAACCAGTGAAGCAGAAAATGGCAATTGACCCTATAAACAGCAAATGAAGGCAACGTACTCAATGATAAATAACTAGCCAAGCAGCATATCAAATGCTACCCACAAACAAAAATCGGTCTTCTTGTGCTTCTTCGATAAGTCGGAGTAAAACAAGGAAGAGAGTTCAGTCGGCCACAGCACTCTCCCCCCCTCGAGCCTTTCTTTAAGCAATAAGATCATGCAATCTTTAAAACTAACCTTCAACATCCAAAATTCATTTCTCGACCCACATAAAAATGCTTGTATATCACCATTTACAAGTTTTTTTTACAGATCGATGAAATTATGATAAATTGAATTAAAACTGTCAAAATCTTTTCACCACTTAAACGGCTGTGCTTTTGTAATATAGGTTATTGACAAAAGAAATTGGGAGATTTTTTTTATTTATTTTTTTTTTTTGGCTAATGAGATTTTGACTAGGTCAAATCTCGCCATATCAACCGTTAATAATCAAATCTATAAATTGTGATATATATATATATAACATAATCAAAAAATACCGAAGTACACACAATAAACAAACAGACGCCCACTTCAGTATCACATTACTTTATTTCCTTTACAACAAGCTCAACTTCTAGTATCGATCAAAAAAATAAATTCCTCTATCAGCAAGGACCTCAAACCACAAGAAACTAAGCGTAGAGTCAACTACATAAATCCTCTTCCACCATTCCATTCCGTTCATCCAAAGCAACTACAAACATCATAATAGTTTCGGTCTACACATACCAAAACCAACCCCTTCGAATTCTCGCTGCAGAAATACTAATCATGCCATATAGATCTTAACATAACTACAAAAATTATTGCCAAATTTAAGGTCTAAATGAATCTTTCTGTGTCATTTGATAAATAACTAGCCAAGCAGCATATCAAATGCTACCCACAAACAAAAATCGGTCTTCTTGTGCTTCTTCGATAAGTCGGAGTAAAACAAGGAAGAGAGTTCAGTCGGCCACAGCACTCTCCCCCCCTCGAGCCTTTCTTTAAGCAATAAGATCATGCAATCTTTAAAACTAACCTTCAACATCCAAAATTCATTTCTCGACCCACATAAAAATGCTTGTATATCACCATTTACAAGTTTTTTTTACAGATCGATGAAATTATGATAAATTGAATTAAAACTGTCAAAATCTTTTCACCACTTAAACGGCTGTGCTTTTGTAATATAGGTTATTGACAAAAGAAATTGGGAGATTTTTTTTATTTATTTTTTTTTTTTGGCTAATGAGATTTTGACTAGGTCAAATCTCGCCATATCAACCGTTAATAATCAAATCTATAAATTGTGATATATATATATATAACATAATCAAAAAATACCGAAGTACACACAATAAACAAACAGACGCCCACTTCAGTATCACATTACTTTATTTCCTTTACAACAAGCTCAATTTCTACCATTCCATTCCGTTCATCCAAAGTAGTATCGATCAAAAAAATAAATTCCTCTATCAGCAAGGACCTCAAACCACAAGAAACTAAGCGTAGAGTCAACTACATAAATCCTCTTCCACCATTCCATTCCGTTCATCCAAAGCAACTACAAACATCATAATAGTTTCGGTCTACACATACCAAAACCAACCCCTTCGAATTCTCGCTGCAGAAATACTAATCATGCCATATAGATCTTAACATAACTACAAAAATTATTGCCAAATTTAAGGTCTAAATGAATCTTTCTGTGTCATTATGCTTCATGTTAATAGTTTTGAGAGATCTAATGCAACTAAATCTTTAACAATTACAGGCCATGTTAATTTGGATTTGCCCACTTGTACAGCGGGGTTAATTGACCCCTCACAAAAAGGAGAACCCACGACGAATAAAAAAATTGTGGGTCCTCCTCTTGTAAAAGGGTCGGTATACAAATAGAAAAATCCTATTAATTTCCCTTTTATCTTGCACAGTAGAAATCCTGAGATCATATCAATCCAAATCCCTTAGAAGGACATAAAGATGGCAATGATTAAGAGATGCAAACGCAAGGACAAGTACATTTGAGCCTATTCATATAAGCCTCATAGGTTCATATTAAAACAAGACAATATGAATGATTAATCTGTTTGTACAGGAATCCTACTATAGAGAGAAGGCCAAATGACCCTTGATAAGAATTCCATTTTTTAAAGGGTTCTACTACAGGAATAGGGGGCTCATCTAACCAAACCCCACAAATGGGGAGAGGGGAGGTCCCATTTTTTTTGCAGACCCCACCCCCATTTGTGGGGCTTCTATCAAGGAGGCAGTCAGCCTCCCCATTTGAAGGGCAAGATTTGTTCTATTTTAAAATGAGATTCAGATCAAGGGGCAAGGTGGCCTGTCATTTGGCCCTATTTGAAGGGCAAAAACCCTTTGTAAAGATCGCACCCAAACAGATTTACAGCACTGTTTTTTTTTTTTTTTTCCAACACCCAATGAAATATTGCCAAGTGGACCCTAAAAACCAATCTTGCAAAATGCACAGTAACATAGCCACCATAGCCAAAAAAAAAAAAGTGTGGAGATTTTTACTCTACAAAGTACAACATAAATAAACTGACATTGTGAGCGAGAAATGTGGATCTCAAAACGAATTGTCAATAACAACAAATATTGAAATAAAATATATTACCAGATCCTTCAGACAACATACCTAAATCCCAGATCCACTGAAACAGCAAAAATCCCATATCACTCCCTTTAAATTTATTTCGAATTCCTTTTTTTTTTTTTCCTGAAAAATATTTAGATATTTTTGGTAGGTTTTATACATATGTAACATCTTTAAATCAGTAAGATAAATACATAATTTAATAAATAATGATAATCATAGAGAAAACTATCAGTAGTCATCCTACATGACATTTACATCAAATAACAATATTTGATGTGTTTGTCACGTAAAGCGACTATCGACAATCTTTACCATCAATAGCGTTACTCTAATTTAATTGATTCAATCAACAAATTAAATTAATTAATTGTTTAATAATAGCATCTTCCTTGATGCCAAACGTAGTTTTATATATAAATAATACTATTTATAAGCTTGACTTATTTATTAGTTTAGGTATACCAAAACAACACTAAAATTTACAAGTTAATTAAACAAAAGTTTGGTATCAACCAGTGAAGCAGAAAATGGCAATTGACCCTATAAACAGCAAATGAAGGCAACGTACTCAATGATAAATAACTAGCCAAGCAGCATATCAAATGCTACCCACAAACAAAAATCGGTCTTCTTGTGCTTCTTCGATAAGTCGGAGTAAAACAAGGAAGAGAGTTCAGTCGGCCACAGCACTCTCCCCCCCTCGAGCCTTTCTTTAAGCAATAAGATCATGCAATCTTTAAAACTAACCTTCAACATCCAAAATTCATTTCTCGACCCACATAAAAATGCTTGTATATCACCATTTACAAGTTTTTTTTACAGATCGATGAAATTATGATAAATTGAATTAAAACTGTCAAAATCTTTTCACCACTTAAACGGCTGTGCTTTTGTAATATAGGTTATTGACAAAAGAAATTGGGAGATTTTTTTTATTTATTTTTTTTTTTTGGCTAATGAGATTTTGACTAGGTCAAATCTCGCCATATCAACCGTTAATAATCAAATCTATAAATTGTGATATATATATATATAACATAATCAAAAAATACCGAAGTACACACAATAAACAAACAGACGCCCACTTCAGTATCACATTACTTTATTTCCTTTACAACAAGCTCAATTTCTACCATTCCATTCCGTTCATCCAAAGCAAACATCATAATAGTTTCGGTCTACACATACCAAAACCAACCCCTTCGAATTCTCGCTGCAGAAATACTAATCATGCCATATAGATCTTAACATAACTACAAAAATTATTGCCAAATTTAAGGTCTAAATTAATCTTTCTGTGTCATTATGCTTCATGTTAATAGTTTTCAGAGATCTAATGCAACTAAATCTTTAACAATTACAGGCCATGTTAATTTGGATTTGCCCACTTGTACACTGGGGTTGATTGACCCCTCACAAAAAGGAGAACTCACGACGAATAAAAAAATTGTGGACCCTCCTCTTGTGAAAGAGTCGGTATACAAATAGAAAAATCCTATTAATTTCCCTTTTATCTTGCACAGTAGAAATCGTGAGATCATATCAATCCAAATCCCTTAGAAGGACATAAAGATGGCAATGATTAAGAGATGCAAACGCAAGGACAAGAAGTACATTTGAGCCTATTCATATAAGCCTCATAGGTTCATAGTAAAACAAGACAATATGAATGATTAATCTGTTTGTACAGGAATCCTACTATAGAGAGAGGGCCAAATGACCCTTGATAAGAATTTCATTTTTTAAAGGGTTCTATAATAGGGGGCTGATCGCCCCCCCCCCCAACCGAACCCCACAAATGGGGAGAGGGGAGGTCCCATTTTTTTTGCAGACCCCACCCCCATTTGTGGGGGTGGTCAGCCTCCCCATTTGAAGGGCAAGATCTGTTCTATTTTAAAATGAGATTCAGATCAAGCGCCAAGGTGGCCTATCATTTGGCCCCATTTGAAGGGCAAAAACCCTTTGTACAAGATGGCACACAAACAGATTTACAGGTCCTACACCGGCAGCACTGTTTTTTTTTTTTTTTTTTTTTTCAACACCCAATGAAATATTGCCAAGTGGACCCTATAAATCAATCTTGCAAACTGCACAGTACCATAGCCCAAAAAAAATAAAAAAATGGGAAAAGAGTGGAGATTTTTACTCTACGAAGTACAACATTAATAAACTGACATTGTGAGCGAGAAATGTGGATCTCAAAACGAAATGTCAATAACAACAAATATTGAAATAAAATATATTACCAGATCCTTCAGACAACATACCTAAATCCCAGATCGATTGAAACAGCAAAAATCCCATATCACTCCCTTTAAATTTATTTCGAATTCCTTTTTCTTTTTTTCTTTTTTTCTGAAATTTTTCAATCTGAATAGTATTCAATTAGGCCTGTGAATCTCCCTTTCTCCCATTTCCTTCCCCTTCTCTTTCCTCCAGCAATTTCCCAGCCTCCTCATCCGCCGACTGTGCCTTCTTCTGCGCCTCCTTGGCCTTCAACGCCTGTAATTTCAAATGATTGTAGTACGCAACTCCCAAAAATGCCAGTCCGTACCCGATTAAGTTCACCGGAGTCACTGTATCCTTAATCACCGACCACGAAAATGCGATGAGCAACCAATCCTTAACCACACCGGCGACATTCATGGTCAACGCAGAAGTTTTTCCAACAAGCAAGAACACGGCCAAGTTTAAAGCGAAAGCGCATAGGGAATTCGTTCCGAAAATGACGAAATCGAAATGAAAACCCGATTTCTGTTTCAGTATTGGGTACTCAACGAAAATCCAGGGAATTGACAGAAAGACAAAGCAACTGGGTGCAACGTAGTATAGAGAAGTGATGGGGTTTAGATTAATACCCTTCGAAGTCAATAGAATCTGAATCATGACCAATCTTGTGGCCTCGAAAGCAACTGCGCCTAATTGGAGAAAAACACCCCATGAATCGTACTTAGCTTCTCCATAGGCGGCAATTGCAACGCCGATTGAAATTGCGAACATGTTTAACATGGTGTTGTTCTTGTAGCTATCCTTTTTGAAGAGGATGCCGATTGAGTACACAGCAACGGGCATCAGGGCTTTGAGCATCTGAATAAAGGAGACGGAGAGGTAGATGTAAGCGGAATTGGAGAGCCAGAGGGAGAGTGAGTAAAGGGCACCGATGGGTACGACGGACGTGAGGTACACGCGCCGCGAGAGGGCAGCAGGTTCGACGAGTTTGAAAACTCGGACGGCGATGACGGCTAAGGAAGAGCAAAAGGCCATGTGAATCATGGTGAGTGAGATGGGGAAAGGCCAGTTGTAGAGCTTTCGATCCAAGATGTACTTATTGTAGACTATGACAGTGAAGGAGAGGAAGATCCATATGGCCACGTAAGTGTAGGAGAGGATGATTTTCTTCACCACCCCATCTGAGAGTGCTCCGCCTTTCCCCATTGGCTGTGGTGCCGATGCGGCGAGGATGGTGGTGGAGGTGTGGAGATTCGGAAAGGTTGAGGAAGAGACAAGACTGGGTGTTGATAATTAAAGAAGAGAGGAGAATGGTGGGATATGGAAAAAGGGAAGAAGTAAATATAGGAGTGGGGCGGGGGAATTTTTATAAATTTACAGTTTCACTTTTTAAAGGAAGAAATAGGGTTTATATAGATTTTATTTTTTTATTTTTGAATGGATTTGGATTTAGTATTTCTTGGTATTAATTAATAAAAAAATCCAAGAATAGATTGTTGTGTATTTTTCAATTTTGATTGTGATGGCCATTTTTGACAACATTAATTTATTTCTAAAAATGCGATATTATTATGACTCGGGCAAACGACAAAAAAAGTAAAATTATTGAAATATTATGGTGAGATTTGCATAGATGACAATAGATTCATGTATTTTAGACAAAAATCTCAATGATTTAATATTCAACAAAACAATTAATGTTAGAACTTGTTTACATTTAAAAAAGTTATTTGTATCTTTGACTTGTGTGCTTTCAAGATTTCAATATTCAAATTTGCTCGTATTTGAGTTGCACGTTTTTCCTTGACGTGCATGGTTTCAAAACAATATACAAAATGTGAACATGTGAATTCCACGTATTGTAGCTAATAATCTACAAAAAGATTTTTTTTTAGAACGGTGGTATAAAAGAATCGACTAACTAAATTATTTTTATTTCATCAAAATATGTAATATTTGTTAGAACTCTGACGTGAATATTTTTAAATTTTCCTTTTCTGACTCTTTTCGTTGTAGAATTGAATTAATATATTTTCAAGAAAGTTTTCAATAAAAAAAAATGGGAAAAAAATTAATAGACTTCACATTAATTGTCATTTATGGGACTTCGGATGCTAAATTTCTGCGCATGATTGTCAAAGGTCAAGCATGCGAACGACTATGTATTACCAACAAAAACGTGTCCCAAAGGAAAGAAATTTCATGTGTGAGCCTATATTTTTAAAAATAAAAAAATTTTAAAAATAGAAACTTAATAATTAAGATGGTATGCTGCTATTTGCATGGAACAACAAAAAAATATAGCTAATAATTTGTATATTGGAATAATTGAGAAAAATTTCGTGGGCTTATGTCTGTAACATTTGATTGACGTGTTTCTCATGAACTTGAACAGACTATTTTGTTTTCTTTCTTTATTTATAATAAGTTGGTGAAGGTTTACTATTGAACTAATATTCGTTAAGTCTTTTCATGTGACAAAAACGAATTGAATTGATAAAGTTGCGATAAGAAATGTTGAATTTCGGACGATGCACATGTAAAGTGCTTGTTTGTTCACATCTTGTGATCCAAAAAAAAAAAAAAAATGAAAGCAAAAAAAAAAATCAATTATTTCAATGTAACCCTCACTCTTAGTCATTTTTTGAAAACTATAAAAAGAAAATAAGAGTGCAGCAATTAGGGTTTTTATGGACCAACACTATGGTGTAAATGTATAACTTAACATTTATTGCATTTGAACAAGTTGATTTCATTCTTGATGTGCACGAAATTTTTTTGAATAATACTAATAGTCTCATTGGGATTGTAACTCCAATTTCGAGTCTGTTTGGGAGAATTTTAGGAAGGATTTTTTGACCGTTAGAGAAAAAGTGGGGTCCACCTGTAAGAGAAAAATTCAAATATGACAATTGAAATAGTGAAATAACGGTCAAAAAAATCATTTTTTTGGGCCAAAAAATCACTCTCAAACAGGCTGTTAAGTGATTTTAAATTTTATATATATATATATGAAATATGAAATTTAACAAGTTACTTAATTCCACTTATTATTTTAATGTCATATTAGAGCCACTTTTACTGGGGTCGAAGTGTTCACTGTGTTTATTTCTTATAAATTTGAACATTTACTGAACAAGAGAAACTAGAAAACCAATAAATGTATGACCATAAATGGTTCATAAAATAGGCCCTAGTAAGCAAATTCCTTCAATGTGGTTAAAACCAAAATTAATGCAACTTTTTCTAGAACTTGGTCATTAAAACAGAGAGAAGTTTGTAATGCATTTACGTCCATAATGGTTTCTACATTGATTAATGGTCCGTTTGGCATAATTTTAAAAAAGTCAAAAAAATATTTTTAATTTGAATATTTATGATTTTATTATTATTAATTTTTTTGAATATTGAGAAATACAAAGATATCTGAACTAGATTTATCATAAAACATGTCAAAATTGGCTCGGCACTATTGCCCATGAGCTTGAGCACGAGCCGACCTCGTGGCTCGTTTAGACTATAACTCGGCCCTCGAGCTCGTGGCTTGTGGATCAAGTCGAGCTTCAGCTCATGAGCTCATTGAATTTTTTTATGTTTTTTAAATAGATAAAACCCTCATCCTTTTATCCAGACTTGAAATCGACTACTTAAATTTCGAGTACGCAAGAATTAAAAATTGTATACGAACAACTTGTTACGTTTACAATTTTTTTAAAAAGTAAAAAAAGTATTGTAAAATAACAAATTTTGATGAATGTTAAATTAAATATTACTTACCTGACGACGTGCAATTTTTCATATTTATCCTGCTGTTAAAAAATGAGCGTCTTGACAGTCCTTCACGTACATAACTACTTCCAAAATACCTTCTTTTCAGCCAGCTCTTGATCACGAACAGAACCCTCTTACCTACACTAAAAACAGGTTTCGAAGTTACAGTGCTAATCGAAAATGTTAAAAGGTTTTTTGCAATCGCATAAACAATTGGGCATAGTCATTCGTAATTTCACCAGAATTTAATTACTTCTTCTGAACTTTTTAAATTGTTTTGTTATTAAGCATATTATGACTAAACTAATCAATTAATTCAACATGCAATGCATTTGGACTTACATCCGATGTTTGATTACATGCGGTAGACATACTACAACTTGAGGAATCTATTGCATTTGCATCATATCTATACATATTAATGCTTTCAAATAAATTTAATATTTCGGAGTTATCTTTTTCAATATTATCGAGAGGAGTTGATGCAGAAGCTTCTCAACTTCTATTTGCACCGATTCGTTCTGCATATAATTCACACATTTCACATAAATTTTGTTTAAATTTTCTATAAGTGATAGTAGGATTAAAAGTTAAACTTGAAATCTATCAAATTACGTATTTATGACTGATAAATTATATCGGGGTCCATGATCCATGTTAAAGGAAACAATATAGGTAAATCCTCCCAATATTTTTTAAACTTTAATTCCATAGAATATACAATTACACTATAATCAAGATCATTTTTGTATTTATGAAAAATTCTTGCAATTTTATATAAAAAGATTCAATACAGGTGGTGAGATAGTAAACTCCAAATAAAATATTTGTAGAATCATAAAAACTTGTCGAATTTTTTTAAAATTTTAGAAGCTAAAAGCCAATCGGATTCATTCAAAATAATATCATCATCGTTTCTAATATGTTTATTGTTATAAAATTCAATTTATAAATGTTCAAATCCTTCGCATTATGTTAATAATAAGGGGAGTTTCATTTATACACTACGTCACTAACAAATGTTTTCGTACTCATCACCCCAAATTCGACACAAAATTCCACAAAATGTTTATTTTCTATTAGATGAAATCGCGATATATATTAATGTATTCCTAATTCTTTAAATTACATTTTTACTATGTTTCAAATCATCTTACACAATTAAATTAAAAATATGATACACACAACAAATACGAAATAAATAACCACCGAAATCGGGCTGTATTTCCCTATACAATTTATTGACAACTGACTTATTAACACTAATGTTGTCAAACATAAAAGAATGAATTTTATACTCGCAATGATATTCTCTAATAATACTTATAATAGCGTTATATATATATTGTTAGCATTATGAGGGAGCTCAGTAATTTTAAAAACGATAAATTTTTTTTATGCATACACTACCCTAGGCCTACTGAGTGTGTAGTTGTAGCTATATAATCTCTTTTATTCGAGCCACTCAACTTGTTTGACAAATCTAAAATTACTAGACCAATTGTTGGGCAGTGAAGGCTAAATCTCTCGCATGATTGTCAAGGGTCAAACGTTGTAAGCTGTGTTTAGGGCTAAACAAACTCTCGAACTAAACCGACTGACCCGACCCGAATTGAACTGAACTGAATCGAGCAGTTCTTTTTAAGTTAAATACTTGAACGGGTATCTAAATTGAGAACCGACAGCTTTGGTTCGATTCTCAGTTCTAGATCAAGAATCTAATAATCGAATCTCTCTAATCTATTAATTAATTTATTTTAAATAGGTCAAATTATTTTATTTTTTCTAAATAAATTTGCTAATTAGTTAATTTAGCTCAAGCCCAAAAATATGATTTTCTTATTTCTAATTTTCAGTTCAAAACCAAATTAATTAAATTGATCTAAATTTTATCTAAATCTGTTACTTTACCATAATGTTGTTTCTACAGTTCTGGAGAAATCGAACTGATGCTCAACAATACTTTTTTTTTTTTAATTATTGTGAGCTCGCTACTTTCTCTTCCTGTGATTTTAACAATCAAATTTATAAAGAACTCAGCAAAGAAAGACGCATAAAATTGGATTACGTTATTTTATAAGAGTTAAGATTGAACATATTATTAATTGAATTAGTGTAGTTTTTTGTAAATATTAAAAAATTTAATTATAATACGGAACTTGAAAATTGAATAAAATCGAACTCGAACAGTTCTATAATTAAATTTGGACTCGACTGTTCCACTTACTAAGCTTCCGTTTGGCCCCCATTCTCATTCTCATTCTTTTTCTCTCTTATTTTCAACTACACAATCTTCCATAAAATAATATTACACGCAAATAAAAAAAATCTTTTTTTTCAACCACACATTTTTCAAAAAAATATTATTCCAACCATTAAAATTTTAAAAGAATGGGGGCCAAACAAAGGCTAAATATCCGAAAATTTCGAGTTCGATTTGATTCTAACGAGAATCAAATTGAACCATGTTCAGCCCTAACTGTGTTACACACAAAAGTCTGTTTATCAATTTTTTATTTTTTTTTCATTCTCCCTATTTAGACAGAAATCACATGGTTCATGGCGTCAGTTGCATGATTGTTCCACTTTTTCTCTTCTTT